AAGATGACTAATTCATATATATATATATATATATATATATATATCAACTCTCATAATCTAAACTAAAATTGTAAAAATTTAGGGGGGGGGCCAATTTTATTTTACACACATATTTACATATTATGAATTAAAATTCTCAAAACTTAGGGGGGGCCATGGCCCCCCTCTGCCCCCCTTGGCTCCATCATTGATTAATAATGACAAACTTGATTGTAACATTGATTTATTAGTGAAAAGAGCTCAAAGAAACGTTAAAACGATCAAGATTAATATAGTCGCTGGCCAAGAATTGGTTTCTGGTCCAAAAACTTGCATTACATGTTCCCAAATACTCTAATTGGATGACAAATTTTGAGACAATGTGAGCCTCTATTACGCAATTAATATTTCAAAATTACACGCTAAATTTTTCTCCCCTTTTTTTTTTTTGCGTCTTAGTTGACAGTATGTTGGATCATCACTCTCTATATGGAGTAATGATGTGACAATATTTTAATAAATAAATACTAACTTCTCTTTAATGTAACTTTTAATGCTCCAATTTCACCTTATATACTTCCTACAGAAATCAGTATGATAGAATGTCAATCTCAATCAACTAATTAAGAATAGCCAACGAAACACAACGAGAAGAACATTATTTTTCAAAAGACCTCCGAGATGGCCACTAGTTGCCAAAAAATTGCCAAAATTACTTACTATGTGCTCCAAGTTTAAATTACAAAACTTTAGTTTCTCCGTCTCTCTAAACTAATCTAAGTTAGAAGAATTGTTGCATTGAACTGTAAATTAAATTGCCCACACTTCCTCTACTGTCTGTGGAATTACGCTGAACTCCTTAAATTTTCATGCCATATTATAAATGCGTTCCCTAATAGGATCGAACTATGGATCACATCAGGAATACTCTATTCTCGTTATGCAACATTGATAGGCATAAATTGCTATTATTAATTTTCATTTACTAGTAAAAAAGAAAATGTCAGAACTTGCACAATTCTTGAACAAAATTGTCATTGGAGTCCACTAGAATTCACTCAAGAAGGTGGAGCACATTGAGAGGATTGAAGGGATAGACATCAAGAAAGAAAATCAATTAAAGTTGAATTTTTCCTTTACAAAGACTTTTCATATGCGTATAAGGAAACTTAATCAAACTGTAAAATTTTCCTAAACTCAACTTTTCCAAAATCAAAACTTACATCATTCAAATTTGTGAAAAAAAATGATGTGGTATTGGACTTCCACATAGGAGTTGGTACACCAGTAATGAAAATGACGGTGAGATATATTGTTTCTCCCATACTTTCTTTGCCATCCTAATTCCACGCTTTGCAAGAAAGAACCAAATTTTGAATAGATAAAAAAAAAAAAGACAAAGGAAGAATAAAAAGAACCAGAAATTGATTAGATTAAAAAAAAAGGAAGAAGGAGAAGAAAGAACCAAAAATTTAATAGATAAAACAAAGAAGAAGAAGAAGAAGAAGAAGAAGAAGGAGAAAGAGACACATTATTGTACATATCCATGACATAGCCTCCTTACCAAATCTGTTGTCGTCTTCCCTAATATTAAAAGAAAGGAAAATTTGGCACGGCATTAGGGGGGGGGGGGGGGTTGAAGAAAGAATCCTCAAGTCAACAAATGCTAAGCTTTGTTTTATGGTTTATAAATCTACAGTTCTCAATCTTTATGAACATTGATTGGCCTCTCCTATCTCCGCTTGAAATTATATATGTGATTTCCCTAATCCAACTGCATGTTATATCCTAAGCCTTCCCACTCCCAGTAATGTCTTCTTTTTTTTATTACAATGTACACATCTATGTATGAAGTTGGGGAAAGTGTTCCGTGTCAACAATTGAACACCAATCAATATCTCCATTTTTATCTTCTCTCTTTAGTGTTAATTGCGTTCTCAATCATTCATCTCTCTACATGACAATTTATTATCTCATTAGTGTTGGGGGCCTTCCTTATCATCTTTCTCAACTTCCAATCCATGCAAACAAATTTGGGCTAAGATTTTTGGTATTATAGCATTTCAAAATATTTAGTTAAATGAGGAACACTGAGTCAAGTATTAATATAACTCATCTCTAGGCGTTTCTTGCAACTCCCTAGAAGTTTCCCCATGGCCTTCAGTTGCAACCTTGGTCTTAGCTGCTTATCAATCATAAGCATGTAGAAACTTTAAGTAAAAATTAAAAAAAAAAAAAAATCTCTTCTCCTCAATTTTTGAAGAATCAACTTCTGGGCAAACAAATATAGCAAGATGACAAAGTTGCAATAATTGATGGCTTAAATTATATATTATCAATCTCCACGCTATAGACCATTCACCAAATTTGTCTGCGTCTCCACGTTATAACAAGGGATTAGGTTGGAAATGAGGAAAGATCTTTCCTGTGTAAGTTTCTACTATTTCCTTTTCTACGTACTTGGAATTGGTTCCTTGTTAAGTAATTTATGGATTAAACATAAAGGAGTGACTAGATACAACTATTCTGTGTCAACTGTCAAGGCCTTCATTCCCATTGCGTCCCTGTAGTTGTAGAGTAGGCGCGGATAAAATGCATGTTCTCCAGTCACGCCTCTATGCTTCCGGTAGGTAAAACTTTGCCAAAGCTTTTCAGCAAGCCATGAATGATGGCGCCATAAATGATAAATCCAACCATATGCCTCCTTCTAAGAAGCTGCATGATGAAATGGACAACATAAATAAATATGTTAATAAATTTCCACCAACTTCTCCACTTGCAATGATAAATTAATGTAATTTCTCAAATCTTTCACGTAATCCTTTGTTATTTTCCTTGTATGTGAGCAATTGGTTTGTTATTCATGAAGACTTATAATAGCTTAAAAAAATTACCAATTACCATTGTCCAATATGAAGAAAGGGGACCCATGTCCATGATAAACGCTTGCCAAGTACTCCTTCATTTTTATACATGGTAATTTTTTTTTTAAATTTTATGATTATACATGTCATATGGACTTGGACCTTTATTTTACATAAAAATTTACATGCACCTCTTCTTCAGATTCCGATTATGTGCGGAATTAATTATTTCTAACTCAATGTTTACAAAGACAAAAGAGATATGGAGATTGGATGTGGGATGAGGAAAGTTCACAGCATGATGTGTTAAAGCGTTCAATGTCTTTGCCGCCCATTTCCTGGAAATGTTCCTTAAGGAGCTTTCATTAAGTCATCAAAATGGCAATTAGGTATGATGTCGTCAAAATAATTTGGGAAAAAAAAAAGAACAGGAATATTAACAATCTCCAAGTAGGCTGTAAATTTTACAAAATTTGTAACCGGAACATGGGCTATTACTCATGAATTAAAGCAACTAATAATTTTATTGCTAAATAACTAAATAAAGCAACGTGCATCTTACTGAATAAAAGAGTGTTTTTTGATAAGTATAAATATACAGTCAAATATGCACAAATGATATATGTGCACATACTAGTGCCCTTATATGCACATCAGGGTTAATTTGTAATTTAGCTTGCAACAATTTTTTTTTTATAATATATGAATGATAGCCCTTAACCTATTTATGAATTTTCACTCTTCTCATGCCCTTTTTCCAAATGTTCCCATAAAATTAAAGGGAAATAATTGGCTTAATTAATTTAGACAATCTAAATCCTGCGTTATAATAGTATAGCAAAGACAACAGTCCATATAAAAAATTATTCATGCCAACACTAGCAAAACTTGTCCAAATCCTGTGCTTTAAAAGCATAGCCAAAAAAAATCTATAAAAACAATCAATTATACCAACATTGTACCAAAAATATTAATCTTTTGACTTATTGGATGTGAACTGATAAGGGAGACCTTGACTTAGATATCGTAATGCTCAACTTTTTAAATCATTCATGGTGTCCTATTAGTTCAACTTTTATCATTGATTCCTCAATACTCAACAATCATACTCGTAGTAAATCAAAAGAAAAACAGAAAAAAAGTACATACCTTTGGCAGTCTCAAGATTTTCAGCCTCCTCAAGCTTGCTTGTAAAAATTTCAGGCACAGTGAGATCATATCCATCACAATTTTGTAATTTTCAGAGTTATTTCTTAGTTCACCAAGTACATAATTTCTTTACTTAGCACAGAAATCTGAGTACAATTGTTGGAGTCTTAATTCGATATTTTTGGAGTTGCTTCTTAGTAGTGAAAACTGACGAAAGTATTATACACTCTTTTGTGTATTGGCAGGGTCTCAGCGTCTTCAAGATAACTTGGCCTGAAAATTTTGGTTGTCCATGTTTGCAAGGTAAAAGGATATCATACTCCATCTTAATTTTGTACTATTGAAGTTTTTTCTCACTGCGTTCATGTTATATATAGCTTTTCGAGGCACAAAAATCATAGATTTCTTCCTTTTCTTTCAACATGGATTGCTCTCTTCATGCTGCTCGCATCCTTGGCATTTTTGGGCAAGAAAATTGTTGCAAACTTTTATCAACTTTTGGAGAAGATAAAATGTGAACAGAGGGTGTATATAGGCTGGATCTGGGCCATAATTAGCATATATATGTGTAGATATGTATATATATGTATGTATGTATTTATTTATTTATATATATTAGTTCAGCCATATTCTTATGTGTGTAAATTAACCTAGTCTCTCACATATGTTTGTGAATATATTAATTCAATCTCCCCCATTATCTTTTTTTTTTTTTTTGGATCGTTACAATTAGATCTTGTTGAATCTAAGTCAAAATCCAAGTTTTGGTGTCAATTTTATGATGCAAGTAAAAGGATAAATACAAAGATACATACTATGGGAACCAATGGTATTTAAGTTAAATTTGTCTCCATCCTAGAATTTAGTAATCGTAATTGACAATCTTTGAAAAGAGTGTACAGTATTTAATAGATTTTTTTTTTTTTGGATTTAAAAGTAGATGCAACTCTCTAGAGAGTTGCAATATACTTTTTGTTTCTTTGGATATATCTGTAGGTGTAATGGTTTGGATTCCTAACTTGTAGCCAGAGTTGCATCTTATGCTTTGCAGGTAGCCAAAGATTGGTTGATAGTCATCTTTGAACACTCCCGGAACTTCCTTCACGAGGGCCCGTTATCACGAACCCGCAAGGCCATTGGTGGTCTGCTCTGCTGTTAGTTCAACCTTTCCTCAACACTCAACAATCATTATACATAATCTTGGCAGAGTCTCAAGGTTTCAGGTATAATGAGATCATATCCATCTGAATTTTGTAACTTTTGGAGCTTTCTCATATTTATAATGGCTTTGCTTGGCACCAACATCTTGATTCAATTATAATTCATTCATCAAAACTCAACGATCCAGATCTTGGTGTTAGTCTTACAACAGAAATGTTTGCATAAAATTGTTAAAATTTTTATAATAGTCTTCTTGATGCACAACAGTAGTATCATTTTTTACCATGCTTAATTGGGCGACTACATGTTTATGTGCTTTTCTTCCCTATCAAATGGGAAGGTATTAGCATCCTTTCTTTCAAGTTTTGAGACACTTTTTATCTTATTCTTCTTCCTCTTTCTTCTTTTTTTAAAAATAATATATTTGACACATTATTGTTATCCAGACACTTTATTAGGGTACAATTCCCGTTATCTATTTCATTTAAATTTTTTAATTTGATGCACTCAAAATTTAAAAATAGATAGAAAAGAAAAAAATTTACCTCTGAGAGACTAAAGAAGTGGGTTTTCATGCATATTCTGTAATTTTTTTGAGATATATTTTATTGATGAGATTTGAAATTTACATGGTTCTTCATATCACATTGATATGTCTCCACATATTGTAGTAAATATTGTATTTTTGCCAATGGGAAGAATCATAGATGAGCTTATAGTTGCATAAATTAATTGAGGAAGATTTTTCTTTTCCTACTTACCTATTGTGCTATGACTTTATTAAGCAACGTGCAGACCAAGTTTGATATATTCTGTGAGGCCTTTAATTGGACTATTTTGTCGTTTGCTATTTGTCGAATGAGACGCAATGAGTGGTGAGCAATTCGACATACACACCAATTGACCTAAAATTTATTTATCAAAAAAAATTTTAAAAAGTAATTAAGATACCATTTGCCACAAATAAGAAAAAGAAAAATTATATTAGTGAGAAGAAACATCATGTTGTACCTAAAAAATATATAATTACTACTGTATACTTCATGAACATTTCATTCAGCGCAACAAAGTTGTATATGAGAAAAGTCTTTTTCATCTTTAACATTGATGATGCACATATTCAAAAATAAATGCAAAAAGAAACGTTGATTAAAAGTTGAGGATACCATTATGTAGAATCCAACATTAATCGGCTAATTGTTTAGTTTCCTCACCGAGTTCAAATTTGTCAAACTAAGTTTGGAAATGCCCTGTTTCAAAATTTTCCAATGGATTATTATGCTGCCTTTATTGAACAACGTTATTGGTAGATAACTGGAATTTTTAGAGATTCTGTTGTCACTTGATAGGTCACGGAGCTCACTGGAAAATTAATGGAGAAACTTGGGAATTTGGCATTCGACAAAGGAACGAAGTGGTACTATTTGGTTGATAATCTAAGGTCGCTCGAAACGAAGTTGCAAAGATTACGCAACAGGAAAACTGACTTCGAGTCGAAAGTGAAAGTTGCAGAAAGATCAGGTACTAAGAAAAGGAAAAGGGAGGTTGAGAATTGGTTTGATGAGGTAGCAAAAGTAGAGAATGAATTCGTTGCATTGAAAACGAGCATACAAGAGGGAGGATTTCTAGAAAATGCAATTAGCAGTGGGAAAAGAGTGGAGAAAATGGATGCAATTGTAGAGCAACTGATGGTGCAAAGTGCTAGTGATCATTTTGGTGAGCTTTGCCTCGAGGCTTCTGAGAGCAGAGGTGAGCCACGAGAGACAACAGAATTATTTGGAGAAATGTTTCGCAAAGGTCTGGAAACAATCACGGCATGGTTGGACACCAATGAGATCTTAAGGATTGGGATCTGGGGGATGGGTGGCGTGGGTAAGACTACATTGGCGGAACACATCCATAATCACCTCCTTAAGAATACTCAATCCTTAAGGGTTTATTGGGTTTCTGTCTCCCAAGCTTTTACCATCAAAGGGCTGCAAGGTGACGTTGCTAAACGCTTAGGGCTTGATCTGTCACATGAGGAAGATGAAAAAGTGAGGGCACGTAAGTTGCGTGACACATTTGAGAAATGGGAGGAAATGGTAGTGCTCATATTGGATGATGTTTGGGAAGACTTTGGTTTAGACAGCTTGGGGATTGATGCAAGAAATTGCAGACTGATTTTGACTACACGCTCAGAAGAAGTGTGCAACCGGATGCAATGCCATCCCTTTGAGTTGAAAACTTTGGACACAGAGGAAGCTTGGGGTTTGTTCGAGCGTACACTTGGCAGCGAGACCGTGCTTGATGGAGATTTGGAACGTATTGCCAAGTCCATCACGGAAAGGTGTGGTGGTTTGCCTCTTGGTATTGTCGTAATGGCTGGGAGCATGAGAGGTGTGACCGACATCCATGAGTGGAGAAATGCATTGGTAGACTTGAATAGAGTAGAGCACGGTAAGATGGAAGAAAAGGTGTTTCCCATCTTGGAATGGAGTTTCAAACGCTTGAAAGAATGTGAAAGGAATTGCTTCTTGTATTGCTGTCTTTATCCGGAAGATAGTGATATAGAAAGAAAGGAACTAATAGACCTCTTTATTTGGGCAGAGCTGATGTCAAAACGGGAATCATGGTCAGAAGAATTTGATCAAGGTCACACAATATTAAACAAACTGATTAGAGTTTGCTTGCTGGAAAAAACTAAAGATTTCAAAGGGGATGACTGTGTGAAGATGCATGATTTGGTCAGAGATATGGCATTAAGGATCACAACGCATGGAAACTCCAAACCAGAGAGCAGCAGAGATGATGTACCACGATTCTTGGTGAAAAGCTTAGGACAGGAAGATTCAAAAGTAACAACACTGGAACAAGATGAGTGGACAGAAGATCTCCGTGCAGTTTCCTTCTATTCACAAAATTCCAAAGGAATAGAAATTCCACCAGCCTGGTCACCAAATTGTCCTAAGCTCTCAACCTTGCTTCTTTCTTGGGTTTCCATAAAAGAAATCCCAGATTCATTCTTTCGGCACATGTGTGGACTTAAAGTTTTGAATCTATCTGAGTCCCAAGGTATAACAGAGCTGCCTGATTCTGTTTCAAACTTGGTGAATCTCACTGCTTTGATTTTGGGGCATTGTGACGGCCTCCGATTTGTGCCACCACTGGGAAAGCTCAAGCAATTGAGGGATTTGGACCTATCCAACACTGAGATTGAGGATTTACCTGAAGGCTGGGAGTCGCTGGTTAACCTCGAAAGGCTTAACTTGGATGACTGTTGCGCTATAAGACAAAAGATAATACCAAAAGGGACATTTTCCCAATTTCACCGTCTTCAACGGCTATTATTGCCACCCTATGGTAGCGTCCAAGTTAATGATCCAGAAGTGTTGAACCAATTAGAAAGTTTTAAAGGATATTTGTCTTTTACAAACTTTTATAAAATTACTCAGTGGCCAAAATACTATCAAGTTTATATCTGCGACATCTTAACTAATGTTTATCCGTTTTATGAGGTTGAAGCTTATGGGGACCAGAAAGAACTGCATTTCCATCAGTGTAAGCTTGGTAGAGGATCAAACGATCTGCCAGATGATATGGAAAGTCTGATAATCGAGGATTGTGAGGGCATGGGCATTAGGTGCTTGTCAGATGCTTTTAGGAATTTTATAAATTTAAGCCACTTATCTGATTTGTATATTATGGATTTGGTTGGAATAGAGTTCCTCTGCCAATTGTCCTCTGCTTCTCCACGTGATCAGTTGGAACTCTCTAGTCCACTCTGTGATCTCGAAGAGCTACGCCTCTCCGGGTTGCCAAATCTGGTTGGTCTTTTTTACGGAGAATCAGAACCATCATATTTGCTTCCAGCTGGCACCTTTTCTTCCCTCAGAGAATTGAGGATTTTTGGATGTCACAACATGAAGCAGCTATTCACAGTGCAGCTGCTGCAGAACCTTCAAAATCTTGAAACATTAAGAGTTGATGGTTGTGAAGGACTGGAGGAGATAGCAGCAGATGGCAATGGAGTAGGACAAGGAGGAGGAGAAGGCATCCAATTGACTTCAAGTGGAGCCACCGCCACTGTCACCCTTCCGAAATTACGGAGGTTGCGTCTGACTAGGCTGCCACAACTGAAGAACGTTTGCAAGGCAGCCATGATCTGCGATTCAATTGAGAAGATTAAAATATTTGATTGTCCAAAGGTAAAGAGGCTGCCTTTGTTTCTTCCTACCATCAATGGACTACCATCTCCTCCCAGCACTCTTAGTAAAATCAGGGGAGATAAAGAATGGTGGGAATCGTTAGAGTGGGACTATCCTACTGCCAAAAATGCCTTTGACCCATATTTTACCACGGAGCATCAGACCGATGATGACCACCTGTTTGATCAAAATCCTGACTGGTTCTCGCGTAAGTATTTACTCCCCTTCCTCTAATGTTACCAAGTATCCCGTTCTTTGAGCTTCCCAAAATGATCTGCTTCCCAACTAGCATAGAATTTTCTATTGCTTGGGAACCATTATTAACTCTTTCAGTATTAAGCTCAAGTTTTTCTTTGCCGACTACCTTTCTTGCAATGCAGAACTGCTAACACACTTCTTCAATTAATTTACGTAATTTACTACGCATAATGTTCTTTGTCTTTTTTATTCTTTCCAATGGGAATAAGGATTTAAGTGGCTTTTTTTTTCTCCAGAGAGTGAGAATTTGAATCCAATGTTGAGTTCGCCTGTTTGATCAAAATCCTAACTGGTTCTCATGTATGTGTTTTCTCCCTTTCTTTGAGCTTTTTCCCCAAAATGGATTTAAGTACTTTATTTTCTCTCTTTCTTTCTTCTTATTTATTTTTGTGTTTAATGTCATTATCAATTTGTTCCTTGAATGCCTTGATTTCTAAGTTCTTTTCTTTTTACATTTATTTTTATAATGTTGAATGTTCTCTGTCTTTACCCTTTTTCCGGAGAGAATCAAGTTTTCCTCCACCGACTACCTGCCGAACGGGGCCCTGTGGGGTGATCTATCCCACATCGCTTGGGGAGGGGTTTGGGTGTCGATAGATAAGTCTCCTGGGGCTTTTCAAGAGTTGCCGGCTTTTGAGGATGTTCCTGGAATTTAGGTTTGTTTGTCGCATTTAAAAGTCCTTTGTGACCGAAAAAAGACAGATCACTCATTCTCGGGGTACTTGGGGGGTGTTTATCTCTTAGCAGCAGCGGCCCTATGGGGTGATCTATCCCACATCGCTTGGGGAGGGGTTTGGGTGTCGATAAATAAGTCTCCTGGGGCTCTTCAAGAGTTACCGGCTTTTGAGGATGTTCCTGGGATTTAGGTTTGTTTGTCGCATTTAGAAGTCCTTTGTGACCGAAAAAAGACTACCTGCCGAACTACCAACTGCATCCTTTTCTTATACTCATTGATATTATCTACTGCACATAGATTTTTAATACTTTTTTATTTTTCTTATTTCTATAAATTTAAATATTTTATTTTCTATCTCTTTCTTTCTTCTTGTTCATTTTTGAATTCAGTGTCTTTATTAATTTATTCTATGAATGAGCTAATCTCTATGTTCTTTTTCTTTTTTCATTTCCTGCTCTTGAAGGTTGTCTTGCTTTCCCCTTATCTAAAGAGGCTTTCGAAACAAAGCTACTGGGAATATGTGTTTGCAAATGTTTAAATTCGAAATTTCATACTGAGAGCCACAATAAATTGGAAGGAAGTAGAATTGCAGAGCAATTTAGATGATTGCACTTGCGTTGGTGCCATGGATGAATTTGATTTGTGTTTCTGGGTATACTGATTAAGTGTTGTTTGTCAATATTTCTCAGGTTAATCTAGCTATTCTAGGTAGCCACAAAATTGCTGTTGCAAGAGAGATGATGTTCCAAAAAGAAGTGTTAAATGAAGCCTTGTATACCAATACCAAATTTCCTTCCAATACCTGCTTCTTCCTTAGCTGCATTATAGTTGCTGCTTCTCATCATGTTTAGCTTTCTATTCCTAATTTGATGATGTTTTTCCCGTACTTGATTGTAACTGGAGCCGTGCTACAGTTTTTTTTTTTCATGACTATTCCTTGAATATCAACAAAGCTGTTTTGGGGTATTATGCCAAAATTTTTAGTCACATTGTGCTCCAAGAATGCGATTTCTCTCTATCAATTTAAACCTTTCTGTGCATGTACTTTTTCCTGATTTCCACTTCAAGCAATTATATCTCGAGTTCCACTGATATTTCTTTAGCTAAATCCTTTTGATTAGGGTTAGGATTGTATATGCATGTTTAAGAAGTATCAGAATAACATACGAATCCCTTCTAGAGTCAAGCATCTACATTTAGAATAAATGAAAAAAAATGCTGTTACATCACTTCTCTGCATGACTCGAGCCTCTTATGTCTGACTTCTTTGGGAGCAATTATCTATGAACTGATCAAACTTGTTTGGAATGATTTTTTTTTTTTTTTGCGGAAAAAGTGTATTAAAAAAACAAATGGACTTTTGTCTTGCAAGAGCCATGCAGTTGTATATGTCATCTGATATGGTATCGACTTTTATTGTGAAAAGTCAGAGTATGCTTATGAAAAAGTCTGATATCTTATAGATCAAAACATAAAGAGAAAGATAAATGTTATATATGACATCGGGCCATCTGTTCAAACTTTTACCTTTCGAGTCAACTGGTGAAGGAAATGAGTTCTCAGCTTTAAGGGAGGAAGAAAATCCCATAAGTAATATTCGGAAAAGTAACCTAAATTCATATATTTGAAGAGATATGAAGGAATGCGGACCTTGAGATGAGATTCATGAGAAGTCCTTCAGCTTTATATGACAGAGGTTGTACACATTGCTGGATATGTTAGCACTCTGCAACTTCATACCAAGCAAGGAAGCACAGTTTACTGCTTGCAAGTTAGTAATAAAGCTTTGCTCTTGCGAGACATATAACTCTCCGTGGCATTGGAGCAAGATGTTTCATTATTCACTTGATCACCACATTCTTCAGGAATTTCAGTAATATCCAGAAATACCAGTGGGCAGGCTAATAATAGAGTTGGATGACAATAAGATGAAGACACTCTTACTTTAGGTGAATTATCATAGTTTATCATGCAAATCATATAGATGCAAGGTGCATTTCTTATTGTTTTTCCTAGTTGCCTTTGTTTAAGCGACAGCTAGAAAGTCCTCTGAGTATTCTATTTGCAAAACACGGATTAAGCTTACTGGCAAGCCATCGAAGCACGATATTGGAAGTCCTTTATAATGCCTGATTCATCAGGCAAGATAAGATTGTTACTCAATGTTTTCATACTAAAATTGCTGAAAGATAGTTTTTTAACTGCAGCTGATATGGAGTTCTGGCAAATTCTGTTGCAGCGCTCTATAGTGGTATCGACATCATCGTATGTATCTAGAAGTTTTGATGAAGCCGGAATGCTATCAACCTTATGAACATGTACAATAAGGCAGAGATTGCTTGGACCTGTTGAGCATATCATGCTGTGATTCTTATTGGTACCTTAACTTTCCAGGATCTTTTCAACATCTGAAATTAATGACTAGCATGTGTTTCATTTAATGCAAGCATTCCAGTATAGTTGCTTGACTGTCCCAGGAGAACTATACGGCTGGCCTCATATTGAGGACAATAAACCACATTTGCAAGATATGGAGCTAGGGAAGACCAGCAATCAGTGCTATCACACTCAATGTAATTTCAGCCCAGGAAAAGTTCAACATACAATGCCTTGAAAAATCAAACACACAATCAATCAGCAATTAATAACATCCTCTTACCTAGGTGAACATGGAGACTAAAGCAACTTGAAGACTAGAAAGATTTTTTTGGATGAATGAATGTCATTGAAACTCAGCTATGCTTCTGCTATTCCATCAAATTTTCGTCAATCACAAGACTTGATACAATCAGTTCAGATGCCACTCTGTTTCAGAAATCTAATGTTTTATGTAACAGTGCGCAAGCCCTATGATATTGCTAAGAAATGGTAAAACCTTACCTTCATGAAAGACCACTTATTCTTAGTTTGAATTTTATTTCAGGTTTCTAACGTGCCACAGATATGTTGAACTGAAATTCCATAAGTGGTGGGCTATCTTGGTCAAAAAGAGGGCCTTGTTAAGTTAACTGAGAACTGGAGTCGCCGGCCATTTTTCTTACTAACTACTTTTATTGTAGTAAGAGTTAAAATACATGACCAATACATTCAAGAACTAAAATCCTTGTATTGAAGCAGAGAACTATAAACCATGTAAAGAAAAAGTGAACATTTTTGTGACTGAAAACATATTTATATACATATATAGCTCCAGGGGCGGGCTATGCCTCACCAGTGAATTTGGAAATTGTGCAATTTTCCCTGAATAAGTTGTCATTTTGAGTTATTCACATAGTGCTTCTGTTATAATATTTCGTTCCTCTAGTTCCAATGAAAAGTACAAAGTTGCTTACCTCCCAGAATCATATTTGAGGCAAAATAATTACCCGCTCTAATTGTTTAGAGCAATATAGAATGTATTTTAATAATGAGAAAACGTCTCACAATTTCTGCATCACAGACATGTTGAGATAAATGGTAAAAGTCAAAAATAAAATAAAATGAGTCGGTAAATGTCAAATTTTAAAAAGAATAAATTGTTTATGTATTATTATTATATATATGAGCTGATGTAGATGCATGACACTTAATCTAGTTTCAAATTTGAAATTCAATTTTTGTATACATGACTTACAACTATATTTGCTAGTGTAAAAAATTCTCTATAGTACATCAAAACTTAACTTAAAAAAAAATAATTCAAACAATCATTATCTCTACACCAACCCCACAAAATCTATATATTCTAGTCCCCCAAGTCCATAACTTTCTCAAGAAATAGAGAACTTTGTCAAGTCCATAACTGTGTCATACTAAAATTTGTCAAGAAAGAGAGAACTTATCGGGCAAGAAGAATGATAGTTATTTTATACGCGATTGTATGTGATAAGTTGTAATTTTATCATTTATTTTATTATTAATTTCCCCTATTATCTGACATAATATGGATTAATTGCTAGATTCTACTCACTTTTGATATTTTGCATTTATTTCAGGAAGTAGAACGAAAATATGATAATAAGTGCCAATTTAACAAGAAAATAGCTCAAATAACAGAGCTTATCCCAGGGGTATTATTGACAAAGAAAGACTTTTATCCATTTTGATAATTTCAAAAGGAGAGAGCAGGGCAGAGGCTTCTATTTTACTGGGGGCTGGAGCGCCGCACAGGTCTTCGGTCTTCTTCTCCCTCCCCGGAAGGAGGCCGCCGCAATTGAGGAGGACAACATTCTTTAGTTTTAGTTGGATTTTTTTCTTCTTAGTTTTAGAGTAGGATTTCTCCGGATACGGGTATGTCAGGGCAATCAGGAGTTGACTTTTCCTACCTTGTCTTTGAGCAATTTGGCTTCCTTCGTATGGCACACAAAGCAAGAATAATCAATCACCTCCTGTCGCCTGCTTTTCTCGTTAATTAAAGCGAATTGAATTCTCCCGATTCCCAAGACTATGGCCGCTACTCACGCTTCAATTTCGTATGGCTTTTTCTTATCAAACATGAACTAATTTTCTCACTCTAGTCAAGGAACAACGGAGGTTTCGATTCGCCTAAAAATTATGAAATCGATTTAATTTTATCCTTTTTTTTTATTTATTGGTATTCGTATATCCCTTAATTGCTATGCTTATGGTTATTTAATTAATTGATTATCTTGGATCCGGATACTTAATTAATTTGGTAACCTATTGTCAATTAGGGCATTAAATTCGTTATTGTTTAATTACCTTGAAATAGTGACAACTGGCATGATTGGATTTGTGTCAGGGGGATACGTGGGCTAATCTGAAATAACCCTGGTAATGTGTTATTTGGTTAGAATAGGGCTCCTCTAATACGTAAGGCAATTGGGAAATTAAATCTTACGGGCGTACTTAAAATTATTTCCTAATTAGAGCAGTGATTAATGGGCGTACATTAATCACCGACACAGTAAGGAGGGGTTGACTGCCATCGCTTGTTTGGTAGTTATAACCTATTTATTGATGAATAATTGGAATTGCCCTTACATCAATAATCAATTAGGTGAACCATTGTTGAAGTTATTTCTTGACTAGATTCTTAATTATCACTCATAGGTTTTAGTAAATTGTTATTTAATTTCTAGTTGGCTATTTTATTTTTATTATTTTACTTTTAGTTGAATTGTTTAAATTGTCACCCCTGATATAAAATACCCCCTTTGTTACTGTAGATTTGAAAAGAGACAAATACTTCCAGTCCCTGTGGATTCGACCCTATTCACCGCTATCTACAGAAATTACTTTTAGTTTGAGTAGGTTTTATTATTGCACAGGTTTCGACAACCTGTCAGTATGTGATAGAAACAAAGCAAAAGATAGTCTATCTCTTGTTTTTTTTTTAATATATATTCCCACATTATGTATACTTTATCATATGGACTCTCGTATTTTTTCAATCACTTTTTGTATTGAACCGTTCTAGCAATGAGATTTCCGATCCTCCGGAATTAAACACAACTCACAAAAAGTGGCAAATGGCAATTATAAGCATGTGTGATCACTTTACTGCGAAGTATGGTCACACGATATTCACGTGCTGATTAACTCGGATTTGTCGATTGCACTAGTAGACATTAGAGGAAATTGAACTGTATGACACAGCAGGAAATGCAAACAACCTTTAAATTAAACAAAAACCTTTCCTTTTTCCTTTTTTTTTTCTCTTTTTAATGTTTAACATTTATCTTCATGTTTAGGATGCATAAAATTAGATGGTTGCTTGTAATTTCGACCCAGCCCTCAAAAGGAAAGAAGGTTTGCTTGTGCTTTAGTTTTTCCACATCCTTTTTTTTTATTTTTTACTCTTAAAGATTTGATGACTTGATCAAAAAACAAAAGTCAACAACAATTTGTCTACCAATAGACATAAAAATTACAGAAACCCAACTTATCAAGTAAAATGACGTGTCAAAATGGCACAAATTGGAATCATACTTAATTAAGTGAAATATTCAAGTTTGGTAGATTTTAGGGAAATCTCAAGTACTAAAGGCGTGGTCTTAGCCTCTGGGTTCTTGTATTCTAAGGATACGCCTTTGGTGGGACAGCATTACTAAGCCTCTCACTTAATGGCTTTTCTTATGGCTAGTTTGGGACTTTGGAGGACTGATGCCATTCTTTCAATAGGGAGCTCAGTAAAATGAGGTAATTTGGAATGATTGTAGTGTTACATGTAAAATTACATGATAAACGAGTAAGAAAAAGATGCCAATTTGTAAGGCCCGAAGACAACCAATGAGACAATTAAC